GACTTGAAACAAGCTTGTTCCCTAACTAGAACTAATAAATAAATTAAAACAAAAAGATAAGAAGTCAAAAGTGAAAACTTGTTATGAAACAAAAATCCCAGGTTTAAAAAAATACATGTATTTGAAATCGTGCCCATGTAACAGTTTTTCAAAAGAAGGAGACCGTGAATCATATTACAGCAAGTTAGATCTGAACACTCAGATTAGGTGCCCCTGGAAATCAGAGTATGCTACTTGAATTCTCTTCATTATTTTTAATGTTTCCTTCAATGAAAACGAGAATGTCACTTTATCACAATACACACTTACATTATTTGTGTTTCCAATTGGACAAATATCTATTAAATTGAAAGCCTAACTTTTAATAAGTGCATGTAGACTATCCTATAGGATAACACTAAGTGCTCGTTTGTAAAATTACGTTCTTCATGGCTTCCTATCTCTCAAGGCTCCCAAACCTTGATTGATAATATTATCTTTCCCTGAGGAGGTTCCAGTATTATGGCCGAAAAATAACTTCCAATCTTTCTTTATAAAATAATTTGAGTTATTGCAGATAGGCTATTCATGTCAATACAAGTCAAACACTGTTTAGAGATTCAGTTTGCTATTACAGATAATGTTTCCGTATTCTGCAGTTTAATTATCGAGGAGGAAGCATTTCATCTCAAATGCTGATTTTTTTCTAAATTACTTTGCTGGAAGGTATAGAAATATGCTTAAACTTTCCTTTTTGGATATGTGTTCATTTTTAGCAAGTGGGTGGAGGCCGGCAAAACAAGACAAAATGGAAAAAGCCATAATTATCCTCCGAGTGAGTTGCTTTTGGCAAACCCAAGCCAATCCCATGCCTTAAAAGGCAAGGTGAGAAGTGTTGTGTTTTCGCAGTAGAGGGAGCTGTCTTCTAGCGCTAGCGAGAAGAGAAGGTCACTCAGTCTATTGATAAATCACACCGCCGTGATTCCTAACTGACAGCTCAAACTAACATCAAGCTGGATGAGGGAGAACAAAAGGCCATCAAGCAGCCATTTTCTTGACACTTTTATTCAATCACCAGCAGATTGCTTACGACAGCAATAGCAGCTGTTTTGTCTTCATCTTTCCACATTTGATAAAAGGTGTCAACTCGAATTTTTGTAAATAATTCACTTACCCCTACTGCACACACCAGCACTGTTCAGCATATGTATTTTGTGGGAGCAGATCACTGAGGCAGGTCAGAGCTCAGTGAAATCAGCTGAAGGTCGTCTGTGATCTTAGAAGACACCTCGATAAAGCCATCCTGTCCTTCAAGGTCAGAGATAAGACTATGCGTAGATATTTGTGATGGGAACAAAAGGTTACACAGTAAGGAGGAAAATATATGAAAATGCTTCCTTCAATATAAGACTCATTTTCTTTGTTTAAAAAAATCTCTCACTTCCAGCTCCTTGGTCAGTTATCAGTGTAGGGTATTTGTAAACCCACTGAAGAGATTAAAAATCTAAATTGCTCTTTCAAAAGTTTGAAGAAAGCATTATTTGTAGCCTGCTATTCATCATGACTGTAAGGAGGCCAGAGCTACAATCCATTTTCATGTCCTTTTTAAAAAGAATCATAAAAAGAGTGTCAAAAATTAATACAGTTAGAGCGAATTTCATTTATCTAGTTCATTTAAAATTCTACCCTGAAATGCATTTAGGCTTGAGAGCTGATGGAAAAAATAAAGAAAGGTGTTTTATATCATAAGAGCTTCGTTTGCTTTAAGGGCTTAGAGAAACTAATAGAGAAATCCTTGAATTATTGCAATAAGATACTCTATCTGGTGTTGGCAAGCAGCTAAAAGCGCTGAGATTAAAAATGATACATCCTTCAATGCTAGCTTGTTTTTTAGGTCGCATTACTCACAGAATAATCTAAACAACAAATAGTCGCTATTTGGTTTATATTTTCTATTAGGGAAAGTCCATGTGTTTTTGAGATTC